TTATTTCAACTTTATATTACATGTAAAACGGTCATGGGAAACAGGAATGCCCTTTCAACTACCAAAAATTACGTGACAATCTGTTTCAAAATAAAAATATCAACAATGATAATAATTGTAACAAACAAATGCTAATAACAATAATTGTAACAAATAATAAAAATGAAATAATAAAGTAATGTATGATAATAGAGTGACACAGAGACTTAAATGATCAAAGAAGTTACTTTTTGGTCTGCCAATACTTCAATCAACGCCGTTGGGTGCCACGAACATCTGGGCCACTCAGCGTCACATGACGTGCGTGTGCATGTCGCTAAAACAGACGTATTGGGGTCTCCGTAGTCCTTTGATCTGTTTTGAGCAGACGGGAAGGGATGAAAAGTCTCGGCGATGTGACAGACGGTATTTGTAAATGTCGAAACCTTTCAAAACAATAAATATGATATTCCCAACCCTCTGGGAAGTACTAGTATTGCTGAGGTCACATTTCCAAACCGGGGCCCGGCCGGGTAGTCTTATTGAACGAAAAGTGTAATATAAAAGACAAAGCACAAAAAAAGTTGTAAAAATTAGCAATGGGAACTATTTGGGTATATTATTGATATAAGTTGTTGATTTTTCGTTAATCGAAATATACTTAAAAATTCAAACATTACAATACAGGCTATAGAAGCATCCTAAAAGGAATGTGGTTATAGGCCAATTGAAATTACGAATTCACCTGGCGCGCCTCAATCTTTTTTGTTTGGGGGCCTGCCCACCCCCATTTCCATAGAAATTGGTAAACCCACAGCGGCTTAACACAAAGTGGACAGCAGCTGTAAATAATAGACGATACCACGACCACAAACCATGAGATTCACAGGGGTGTCGAATCATTTGATGTTGATTACTGAAAAAACAGGTACGATATAAAAAAAACGCATCTGGACCTCAATAACTAATCATATACTGAAAAAAAATCCGTCAGACCCTCGAAGAGTGAACATACATATGCAAACGAAAGAAATGCCTTCCCACGGAAGGATATTTCTTTTCCCCGAGGTAAAACCAAGCAACTGAGAACCATCATCAAAGCGAAGTCAAATTCTCCCTACGATTTTCAGCGAAACTATAGCTATGGCAGATGTGACAGCCGACGACATTTTCGAATCTGGTAGAAGGCAACTGCATGGCAAAACCACGGTCGTACTCTATATTTAATTCGTAAATCTATCGTAGGGCATACATTGCAATGACTTTAATGTAACACCATAAACTACATACAAAATATTATCATTAAATCATAATTGTATAGCAGACTCTTGGAGGGACCCGTATCAGAAGGGTCAACACAATTGGCACTTTATGGGTGGAAGTTATTATTTTGACCGGGAATTGCTATGGGGGTTAGCGGCAATAAAAAAGATTTGTGCGGGGAAAGTACCTTAATGGACAGCAGTAAAGTTCCTAAGTAAATTGTTTTATTAAATTTAATGCTGCGACACCAATGACTTTTTGATTCATTGTATTGAAACTACTGCCCAATAGCAATAATCCAGTAGACCGAGAGCAATGACTCAGAAACCAGTCCATGAGACAAAGATGACAACCGGGTCTTTTAAAGGCATCCAGTGCAAATTCAAGGCGGCAATACTGGAAATATTCTGAATAAGGCAATCTGTATAACATTGGAATATACTGCCCAACATTTGCACGTTTGAATCAGTATTTCATACTTTAGGCTTTCAAAACTGCAGAAACAAGCCCCAAGATGATTCCTTTATTTTTCTGGGTGGTACCCTAAAAATCATCCGTGGATCCTTCCAGTTACTTTTTTCGTCAGAATTGCTGGTATTTTTGCTCCGTGGATGTCGATATACATTGGGATAGTGTTGTTTCAACTTGGTATGTAGATAACTGACTAGAATACTGACTTCAATCTCACCCTATAAAACAGCATTGGGTGCCCTTGAAACCCTGATATGGCCTAACGACCCCCCCCCCAACCATGGTCAGGAGTATGTTGGGAGTAACGTCAATTGTGGCTGATGATATTCGGCGAGGTCGGCTACTGTTCGGGTGTGGACGGGATCGGATGTTCGGCTATGTTTGGCTGGTAATTGGGTGGTATTTCAGGGGTAGGTAAGCAGTGTTCGGGGCGTGTTCGGGTGTCACATTTGACTGAAATTTAGCTCAAATTAGATTCAATTCGTATAGATAGGTAGTTGCAGTCCTGGCTGGGAGAAGGTTCTGAATGTGTGATAGGGGCTTCACCTAGTATACACTGTAGGTAAAGCCTGGGAATCAATCTAACTTATGAATTCCAAACTAAAATACCCATGAATAGTTTCATCAGGTTGGTAAGTCACTGAGGAAAGTGACTGTCTTTTATCCAGCCGACGTTTCGGTGACCTTCACCTTCCTCATGGCAATTCTGACTGGTTCACATTACACAGCACAGGTGTCGCTGCTATAGATATTCCCAAAATAAAATAGATATGGTTGATGGATAGTAAAGTACATTGAATCTCTTCAAAGTTAAGCAAGCAATCCGTATTCCAGCATTTTGGTAAAGAGTCCAAGGTAGTAGTAAAACCCTTCTTGGTGTTAGACAGTCTGGATATCAACATGAACAGACGCTTGCTTCAGCCCTCTGGTCAGATTGCTGGAAATCCCTGGAAATGGAACTTGATACAGAGGGATAACATGGCTTCCCGCAGTCTGTATGAGGTACATTTGTAATCAACTTCCCCATTCTGGCTGTATCTATATTACGCACTCTTGGGTTTGCTTCCTCATATCCCGTTCGAAGATGTAGCACAATCGTTCGGTAGGATAAGCAGCCAGGAAATCCCAGGCGATGGAAATTGGAAGATATAACTCTCCATTCCACGGCATGGGCAGCGCTAAATCCTGCATTCACTCATACAGTAGGGCAGCCGCCCGAATCGTGACGGGTTTACATAATATTTATCGTTACTTTCAAATTTATCCTGCCTGTTCCAATGTGGTAATCCAATACATTTGTACGATGTACAAATATAAATCATGTTTTTTAAGCAAAACCGCAAATTTTTTTCTCATCTTGTGAAAAGTTAGTTTGGGGATACATGAAGGTGCCTACTTTGGTATATTTTAATGTTGCAAAACCGATTTTTTTTCTCGTCTTGTGAAGTAAACAATTAGTTTGGGAATACATGTAGATGCCTTCATTGGTATACTTTACTTTGATAATAAATAATTCATTTGTTTGTATGGGGGAAGGAGTGTTAGATGTTGCCATCTGATTAAAAGAAATAACATCACTTTGATCTCCAAAAGTTACATCGGCTTCTTTAATCATAGCTTTATATTTTTGCAAGTGTTTTGCCTACATTGCCTCGTGAATTTTAAAATAGTTTCATTCTCCGCATATATCACATGTCTATCTAGGGACGCTCAGTCACCAAATGCGATAGTACAAGGGCAATGTCATGTGACTAAATCAATACTATCGCGGTTAAAAGCACGGACAGATCCAATCAACTGTGGGGCAGCCGTGCTTTCTCAATATGCAATACACGGTTGTCATTTGACATGCTTATCAAATTATATACTAGCGATATTCAGCAGGAATACATCTACATGATGTTTTATCTTTAGAGAGGAAGACGAGGATTGATCAAATATATCTTGAATATGAACAAGACCACTTGTATTTTTGTCTTCGTACATGTAGACTAATCAACCAATAATGCTTACAAACACACTAGTTGTAAATAGGTTTAACAACGAAGATATGCCCAAACGGTATCTTGTTCGGGTGATTCTTATTCCTTCTTCCTTAGGTGATATGATAGATAAAGACATTCCGCATTCAATCTCCAGTGTATCGGGATCATTAGAATAAATTTGCATGAGAAAACAACGGTCATGACAGGTTTGGTTCAAAGTCATGTATCTGTCGCGTAACATCGTGTCTGATTGGAAAATAAGCTCCCGGTAATATATTCTGCCGCTTTGTCAAGGCTAGATAATCCAGCAGCCCAAGTACGCGCCAACTGTTGCTCACTAGATCAATTTGGGACAAGCTCTTATTTGAAGTACTCGTCCCAGCGTGACCTTCGGAATACAGGCATTCAGTATGTGTATTCAATTATCCATTTGGCAGGGGAAACTCAGCATAATGTTATATATAAATCGGCTCTCTCGCTGTCTTTTCCTCAATGTCACTTACCTTACATGGAAGGTCACGGTTTACCACATGCATCATGTAGAGAATTAGAGCGTATCGTCGTTTGAATGAAATATAACATCCGGTATCCTCTTTCTCTGTTTTGTTGCATGAAGCTTCAAGGGACGTATTGAATATTAATCTAGATGGGAACGCTTAGAAGGGCCGAAGCGCATCGTGTAGAGAATATCATATGAAGACCTAAATTGCTGCCATGCATATACAACCTGCACATGAAAAGCTAATATCAATGGATGCAGTAAATCGTCTCTTTAGGTCTTTTTGAAAATTCAACGGATAGTACTGTATTCTTTCAACACATGTATATCCATTAGAGTTAACGGTATCCTTATGAATAAAGGGTGCGTGTTCTTGAATCTTAAACTGCACTTTCAGATATGTCTCAAGTTCCTTTAGCTTGCGAGAGGATGCATCTTATTTCTGAGACGCATCGTAGACGTTCAATTCCGTCTGAGACAATGTCTATACAAAACTGGAAAGCCAGCTTCAGCAGCCAGCGAAAAACTGCACAATGTTTACTAAATACTTAGCTTGATGGCTCCATCCTATTTAACAACATAAATCACGTTAAGTACCGAGGCTCAAGTACACTTATCTAGTAAAACTGGTCAAAATGAGGACAAGAAAGCACCGTGAGGGTTGGCTATCACTATGTATCGAAAATAGTTGTGAATTTTGGTATTGTTTTTCTTCCGGCTTCTAATCAACAAGCCTAAAAGATGAGATAATACATAGTATTTAGGTTCTTACAATACTATCATAACTGTCTCTTTCTTTATAGGACTACACCATCACCCTGTTTCTGCGTCAGTATTGGAACGACGACCGCCTCATATTCCGAGGAGTGAACCGGACCCTGAGCCTGGACGGTCGCCTGGTGGAGAAGCTCTGGGTACCGGATATCTTCTTAGTCAACGCCAAGCAATCCTTCCTGCACACTGTCACCGTAGACAACCGGCTGATCCGCATCTTCCCAAACGGAGACGTGCTCTACGGGTTGAGGTATAGCAAAGTGCTACTTTCTTTCCCTAGCCAAAATATCAGATTGCATACTGTCCAGCATTATACTTTTGTTTCTTGAAAGGGGGGGGGGGTTGTGTTGTTTGCTTTGTCGATATGAAGAAAGCATTTGACAGAAATGGACGGATAACATCATTGAGGTGGCACAAGATCCACCTACGTGCGTATTGCCATCCTGAATCTTGATTGATGCACACATTTTAGTGCAGTGTAACTGAAGATTCAAGGCAACACATTATATGTTCCTACCCTCAGAAGAGATCAACAGGCATGCACAGTATTTGACAGCTGTAGTAAATCACCAACCAGAACAACCTTTTGTGTTAGTGACTGTGACGCTCATAATGTAATAATGTAATAATGAACTGCATCTGTTAGTGTTGGAAACTGAAATACAGGGGTAGTGGGTACGTGTGAAGATCCTGGCGGCTAGTGGATTGCTTCAATGTGCTGTGTCCATTTTACATATTACTATACCGTCCAACAGTACATGTAGCTTTTTAATTCTTTGATCGTACAATTCAATACTTAAACCATCTTTGCACTGAATGAAACGAAGGACGAAGTTTCCCTTCTAACTGGATTAAGTGCAGTATCTGGATACAGTAGTTATTGATCAAACAATTGACATCGAATGTAAGCCTACTCATGGCTAGGCTTAAGTGGTAGCAAACCCTGTATTACGAATTCTACGTGATAGTGCCTCCGTCTAGGTCAATGATCATTCGGGGAAGAAAGGGCGAGAGCCCTCCTCCCTACCACTCCTGACCTCCCATGCCGACCGCATAATTGTTCTGAGAAATGTCAGAGCGGGTCAGAACATCAAAGACGTCTCAGAGACTTTCCTTGACTCCTTCTCAATCCAATTCCAGGGTAACAGCGAAGGCGGCCTGCCCTATGGACCTCCGAAAGTACCCTCTGGATGAACAGAACTGTACACTTGAGTTGGAAAGTTGTAAGTACCAACTCTTTTGTAGTCTTGTCGTCACGTAGATGACCTATCAGTAGTCTTTGGGTTTGGTTGTTGGGAGGGGTTAAGAGCAATGGACAGCCTGCATAGCTAAGGGCTGGTAATAGCAGGATTGTGGGTGTACTGACGCGCTTGTTGACGTCAGGTGACGTACTGAACACGGGCTCCATTTTAAGCCTATTGATAGGATAGGCCTCTCACGCACAGCAGATCCGATTAGGCTTGATTGCAATTCCCGGGCAAGCGGCATCTTTCACTTTTCTATTTTCGATCCTAATTTGAAATCTATATGGCCAATAGGCTATTTCAGGCTGTTTTAAATGTACATTCGATTATGCTCTTACTGGAGTCAACAGGTGTCTAATGCAGCGCAGTGACAACAATCTTCTGTTAGAGGTCCACTCGGCGTGTACTGTGTACATTTTACATTGCTGTTTTATTGTGTCATAAAAGTTCAAATTATTTTTGCGGAACTCTGGAAGAGCAATCATCCAAAGACGTGAGCATGGGCGTCTTCTTCTACACTATACATATAATCATACACATCTCTTTTGTCTACACCCAAATACCCAATCCCACAACTATATATATATCCACCCATATACTAGTATATCGGGAATACATATGGGAAATATAGATGATCTGGTATGCTCATCGTTACACATGACCTACTGATAATACGGTGTAATGATGTAGGCACTGCTGCGATCTGATACCAAATGAACATAAATATGTCATGTTAAATTTGCAACGTGTGGCCAACATGTGCCCTTTTAATGAAACATCTTGTCTTCAAATGAAATGACGTAAAGAGAGTTCATCAGGCAGTGCAGGAAGCAAATTGCATACTCGTTAACATACACGGCCACGACACGTGAGCCGCCTTTTGTGTAGCGCTAGTGCATCAATCACCCAAATCCCCCGTCAGATTAGTTTGGGAATATTGCGTTGCTGGGCACAATAAGTTCTCCTGCAGCTTGTGGTAAACTACCTTCGACGTGCGCTGCTGATGTCACCGGCGATTGCCGTCACGAATCACGATGGTGCTTCACGTAGGCCCTTCTGAATTGGATATTTCATTACAGCGGACATGTTTATTCGGCTAGTTCCGAACCGGCGGAAAACATAGCCAACATAGATCAGGTGGAACCGATAACCTTTTTTGTTTTCTTTTTAGAAAGTTCCTGCAAGTAGCATGAGAAGAATGACAAGCGTATTCTTAAGTTTAACAGCGTACATGTCTCACCCGTGCGAGATGGTAGTTTTAACGCTGCATTGTGTTGGAGGTACACCCATTCATCAAACGATTTATATGTCGGAACATTACTTAACTAGAATAATAGTTTCTCTGTGATTATGAAATAATATCGCACAGGAGTTAAAAACACATCAATCTTATCCTCATAAATGCAATCTAGTGCAATCGTAGTAGTGGGGTGATGATGATGCTCATTTCCTTTCTGAAATGCTCTATTCAGAAAGCCTGACAACAGTTTGAGTAGTCAGCGTATGAAAAATTATTTTTATCTCGCATCAAGAAGCGTTATCTCTAAAAAGCTGGTATGATGAGAGTGTGGCCAAATAGATAGCTCAAACCTTGCGATGCAGTATCGATGATGAAAAAAAAAGATAGTACGTAAATAAAAGACGCAAATACGACATTGGTATGTGAAACTTCACTAGTGCAGAAATGTTGGCAGAAAAGTTTCAAGACTATCGTTATTAATGGACAGTGTATGATATGAACGGACGATATCAAACTTATTGATACATGGCCTGTCTAGACGCAAAAATATTAGAACGCGCAATGTGGCAACGTAAAAATGAACGGTAGTAAAATCTTGGACCAGGCCCAAAGTTATAGTTGTTCGCGCTGTATTTGCCTTACGGCATTTTTAATTGACTAAGTACCCAAACACTGCATTAAATAATCGTGCGCTTAGAAATCTCATAAAAGATCGGGGCACCCTTGTGCGATACCCCTGGTCTTCTGTCTTAAGCATAAGAGGATTCCCCATTTCTTTTCTGTAAGTGATCGAGGCACCTCATCTAACGAAAAGACCATTAGATTTCTGTCTATGGGACAACTAGTGTTCAATACATACAGGCGCAATCTAAGGCTCAATCTATAAACATGTTTTCTGGCTGACCTATTTCGGCTTCATTCTGTACGTGGCACGCCGTAATCTTTCTCTGCTCCCCTTACATATAACGTTACCGTACTCAGACAATGGTATCATTTACCTAGATCGCCCGGGCTTCAGGGGAAAAATAGTTTCCTGGAGCGTTCATTTTTTTGGAATTGATTGAGAGAATTGCACGATATTTTCCACATTCGCAAGGTCACCGCATGGGCAAGCTATGCGTCATGGAGTCTTTGTCCGAAATAAAGGGAGAAAACACAGCCCATTCAGCATCAGTCAGCCTGATGATGGATGGATTCATTAACAATATCGCACTTTCTCTACCCTCACTGACACGCTCCAAGTAGCTGTGGCCCGAGATAGTAAAACTGCTGCCTCCTGCGTCACGACAGGCAGTCAAGCAGACAGTCCCGTACAGACAGATCCATCATAGTCACGCATTTCTTTTGGAGACACAAAAACTTAATCTCGCCAATCCCGGCCTGTTTAGATACGAGACGGCAGGAACTCATCAACACAGGAACCATTTATTTCTGCCACGTCGCGGGCCTTACGGGCTTAAGTCACTGATGAGCGACCTCGACAGAACAGAGAGTGAAATTAAAGGCACGTCAGGTAGTCCCCTTTCAGGCAGAATCTACCGTAGGCGTTTAGGTATCCAAATTTCCATATAACCCCGGCCCGTCCTTGTCCATCAGTCAACGTGATTAACACCTGACCTTTGCGGGTGGAATGACCTGAGACTCCGGCAGAAACGGAACGATTCGCGGCGGCTGAGGAGCAGACAATACGTGACATTTGCAGGCTCCTGTAAACCAGGGCAAAGTTCTCTTCCTTGACGCTTTTCTGTTTATTTACCGAAAGGAAGACATGTTCTCGCCCGCTCGCTCACGCCAGTCTTGGTATTGATACCTATTGATCAGCTGTAGGAAAAACAGGTTATTAACTCTCTGGTCCTCACATAGGAGGGCGGTGCTAGTTTTATTACAAGACGGCACAGAAAATGACCCATTAGACGAGTACAAAACCCACTGAGCATCCATCCTACTGTATGATTGGCGAATGTCTGACCTAAGGTAAAAATCGATAGTCATATTTTCCCCTTCATGGTACACAATAGGTTGGGGAATGATGTCAGGACTGGTCAGTCATAAACGAAATGTATCTGTTACAGTTTATGAGCGTCATATGAAACCCTGGCGTGTCGTTCATATGATGGACGCACTACATTGATGGCATATTCTAACATACAAAGTATTTTACAAGGTGGAACGTACAATTACCTAGTATTACAAGCAGGGATGTGCACGCTATCTAAAGACTACCTAAATTTCTTTCAAAATACAAATTGCTCACGGTATGTGCGCTGAGACAACATGCGTGGGATTATATTATTGTTGATTTCAGAATCGTGCCGCAAGGCTTGTTCTTGGTATATCACGTACTTCACATGTAGATAATTATAATGTACAGCTGTCTGTGTTAGGTTGGAATTCCCTGGCAAGTCGTCGGCAAATGCACCTCATTCAAACTGTCTTCAAATCAATATAGCAACAAGTACCGGAATACATACAAATGTTCAGCAGACCATCTCACATCTATCAAACAAGTCGCAATAACAATCTTTAAAACTTCCTAAAGTCCGATTAGAATCCGGCCGGAGAAAGTTTGCGTATAGGGGAGCATTTGCCTGGAACGGCCTACCTGCCACAGTTAGAGTGGCCGCGTCTAACCTATTTTTTATGAAGTTTCTGAAGCATTACTGCTGACCTCCTGACCTTGGCCTGAATTATCGACCTCGATTTATGGTACACACTTCTGTTTTGACGCTTGGTTATGTACGTATTGTTATTATGTGTTGATTTCCGTTTCACTGTTAGTTACAGGGCATGCTTGGAAATCAGTGCGTATAGCACTGAGTTTGACGTACACCTCGCTAAGCTTCGAAAACTATCCCATTCGTTCGTTTCCCAGTTGCTTTTTTCTGAGAACTCCATTATACATACTCTTGCCCACTCCGACTGTTTTTTTTAAATCTTAGCCCATTTTGGAGGCATTATGTTAATCTTGTCTTTTTTAAAGTTAGTTATTTAGATTTTTAGCTACTCAGTCCTTTTCTGTACCTTATATTCCTGTATGTATGTCATATGGGCCAAGTGCCTGAAATAAAGTTTAAATAAAAAATAAAATAAAAATAAATAAAACAGAAATAAATAAATTTTTGCCGGATAGAACTAGAAATAGTTAGAAAAAAATGTTACTCAAACTGTCAGAAGGTTACACCGATGTGGAACATTTTGCAACATCCAAAAAAAATCTCTTACTGTCGTGAACGTTTTGCACATTTGCTTTTGAACGAGAAAAAAATACGAAAGCAAATGATCGAATACACCCAGCAATACGAAAACACCCAGTTCAATATCGACGTTCCCTGCTCCTGGTCCACATCTTGTGGGTGTGCCTCATGCACTGCTTTAAGGCCGCATTAGTATCATAATTAGCTTTTTAATCTGTACATAATGACATTTTATAATTTTTGCACATAATCAATTCTGTGTATAACTTTTACCGAATTGTATATTTCATGTCTACTGATTTTTGATGTCTTATGTCTAATGTTTATTGTTTGACTTGGTTCCGTATTGTTTTGTATTATCATTATTCAGGTTTGGGAGGACAACTTGTAAAGGCGTAGATACACCTGTTTTGTCCTCCCTTCCACTTGTTTTTGCATGTGGTAAATTCAAAGAAAGAAAGAAAGAAAGAAAGAAAGAAAGAAAGAAAGAAAGAAAGAAAGAAAGAAAGATCTTCATGTCTGCTAATATTTTGCAAGCAATACCA